CAATACATAAAACGTACTTAAAATAATAACAGCAAAAATTAAAAGTGAGGACAGATAGCAGTTATCGAATTTTTTATTGGTAATTAAAACAACTTTTTACAGACTAGGATGTAAAAAACTTCTCCTGATGGTCTAAGTTATTTTTACAGCTTATAATAATAATATAATAATACTTTTAATTTTGAGCAAACAAAAATGTGTGAAATCACATGAAAAAAAAAGTATGCGACGGTCATGTTAAAAATTCTTAAAAGATACTGATAACCACCCTTATTCAGCTCGAGAAAAAGGTTTCTCCTGACCTATTCTTAAATTACACCCTAAATAAAAAAATTGATAGGGACATTTTATATATAAATGTGAATTTTCTGGTCACACATAAATAATTAAAATTCATCAAGTACCTATTATAGTGGTTAGTATATGGGTTATATAAAAGTTGGACAACTTGATGTCATCAGTCAATAGAGTAGGTATTTTAATATTTTTTGTAAATATTTTAGTATATACTATATATATATATATATATATATATTACAAAAGATCCAGGTTTTTTTAACTTGTCCACCCAATTTGAATGTATTTTTTCAAAAGCACGTTTGTAGAAAAACATAATAAATATTCAAAACATCAGTACCTTGGTACGAAGGCGTAGAAGGGACAATTGCACTAAATTCATTTTTATTATTTAATTCTGCGTTAGCTAACACAGAATTAAATCCGCCATATTTAATTCTGCGTTAGCTAACACAGAATTAAATCCGCCATATTTAATTCTGCGTTAACTAATACAGAATTAAATCCGCCATATTTAATTCTGCGTTAGCTAACACAGAATTAAATCCGACATATTTAATTCTGCGTTACCTAACACAGAATTAAATGCAATTAATTCCGTGTTAGCTAACCCAGAATTAAATATGGTGGATTTAATTCTGTGTTAGCTAACGCAGAATTAAATATGGCGGATTTAATTCTGTGTTAGCTAACGCAGAATTAAATATGGCGGATTTAATTCTGTGTTAGCTAACGCAGAATTAAATAGTAAAAATGAATTTAGTGTAATTGTCCCTTCTACGCCTTCGTACCTTGGCGTGTCACAACTCCTGAATCAAATATTTGAGTGATTTTATTTTAAAATATATTTAATTTATCTTAAATTTTTCAATTTCACTACAAACTATAAAACATTAAATTATGTATTTTTCATATTTTATCATAGATTCGAATAATAGCAATTTTTAAAAAATTGATAATATTTGTACTCACTTTTACCCGTCAGTTCTGTGTCAAATGTTAAAATTCAAAATTCCGAAATATTGAAGTTTAAACGTCAAGTCCTCGTTTAACTCAAGTGTTGGTAAAAAATTACCTACAGAGCCCGCCCTTTGCACGACAGTCATCTTGAAAACAATGCAAGCGGCGAAGTTGTGGTGAATGCACGAATAGTTCCAGTCAAAATTTCAGTACTGTGGTGAGTAGTTATTTTCTTACGTATATATGGGTCAAAATCACCAAGGTGGCAAATTTCAAATTATGTTTTATGATAAATATACCTAGCAGCTATTACTTTGCTAATTGGCTTAAATGATCACTAAACTTGTGTTTAAACAATATTTACGTTGGCCGAGCATAGAATTAATTGCTTCTCTTGTAATTTTATTTTTAAAGTGAACTATCGCTGAAAACAATCATTCCGGGAACGTTTTTGTGAGGTTTATAATAAAATTAAAATATAACTTAGTATTTCTTTTTTACCCTTTACAATAGCGGAAGTATGTAGTTAATAATAAGAAATTAAAAAACTCTAAGAAAGTTGCAAATAAAATCATTTAAAAACAAAATATCCCTACAAATGAACCTATGGGACTATTTTTTTGAATTAAATTATCTAAATATGCCAATATCGCTGACTTACATATAAATAAACTAGCTTTAGGTATAAGAAGTCCGCCTGTTTTAATATTTCCAAGGCCTTTTTTTAATATCTAAAATAATAATGTGTTATCTGGGATTTTTGTTATGTTCCCGGAAATGATAAGGAGTTCACGGAATGATGGGTGTGTTCTCTGAATAATGATATAGATACACTTTAGGTTTATGAAATCATAAACAAAATTTTTTGATGCCATATTTATTTATTTATTTGGCATGAGGTTTATTCTTAACAAAAATGTAACTTTAATTACTTCTTTGCAGTCTTTTAATCGATGTACACAGCCAAGTACAATTCTTAAAAATCATAATAAACTTTTATCTCCATGTTTATAATTAAACCAATTAAACATGTATGTACCTATATTTAAATTGAACTTTTAAACAAAAACAAGCTTTCGTAATCTAATTATTAAACATCAAAAATATATAATAAAAAAAAGAAACAAACATTAAATCATCCTCATCGGACGATGATGAGTAATAAATGGTTTTATAAATGCTCGGTTTCTTTAATTTCAGCAAATCTTGTACATCAGTTGTATCCATATGCTCGTTCGGTTCAGGAGACTCTCTTGAAAGTATTCCCAAATTTATTGGTTCAGAGTTCGGATATAAACTGCCAGATAACGCAGACATTTTCAGTTCTTTCAAAGATGTTGGATTATCGAGTAGATATGAAGGATGTTAATATATTTTTTTTCCAATATGGTTTTAGGATCGGTTTCATATGAGCCCATATCGCATGATCCAAATTTTCACTCACGGTAGCAAAAGATCCATATTGCAAACCATTGTCAACGTTTCGGATATAATATATTTATGAATAGATAATTGATTTTTTGCGAAATGAGTCGACTGAATTTTATTTGCGTACTGACAAGTTTATTTGTATCATTACCTACCTCTTCTTCAGTTAAATTTTCTTTCAACTCTTTTTTCCGTTTGTTGTAACTATAAATGCCATACAGACAGTGATGGGCACGTACCCGGTATATACCCGATTTAATATTTGTATAAATACCCAAGGTATGTACTATGTACTAGTGATGAGCACTATCGATAGTTGATAGTTCAAAGTTTACAATAGTGCTCACCACTGGTACATAGTACATACCTTGGCTATTTATCCAAATTTTAATAAATCAGGTATATACCGGGTACGTGCCCCTCACTGCATACAGATTTTTTTTCTTAACTGGAATATCTTCAATAAAATCCATTTTTATTGCTGTCTTCTTTTCTCTGTATTTTTTATGCTTCTTTCCAAATTTTTCTCTTCATTCGTTTTTTTTTCTCGGTCATCTCAGCAATGTTTTTAACTTTCTTTCAGCTTTTTTTTCTGATAGTATGCTCTATCCTTACCCCTTTTAATGTATCTCTCTTTCTCTGTTATCTTATCTAAAAACTTCCTTTTTCTGGCATTAGCTTTTTCTGTTTGCCGCATGTAAGCTAAACTATTTTTTATAAGTTGTCTTTTTGGACGTTTTTAATTTTTTTTTAACTTCATGAGATTCTATATTTGCTAAAAAAATAAAACATTTATTTAATACTATTTAGGACAAAATACACTAAATTAATTGACAAAAAGTAATAACAGTCATTTCAAGAACGCTCCGTCAAGTCCGGGGACGTTCCCGAAATGACCGTTCCCAAAATGACTTTTTCAAATAAACGTGCCCTTTTTAGACGAAAGTCATCTTGACAGACATGTTTGGCTTGTTTATGGTATATTATTTAAGGTTAATATTTGTTATAAACACTATAAAACGTATTTTTTCAATATTACGAGTTAATAAACGCATTCCCGGTATGATGATATATTTATGTACGCTCTTTAATTATGGGATCGAATGGTACTTACCACTTATTTTTAATTATTTTGGCGAAAAATTCATTTGACATCCACGTTGTTTACATCTTTCACTACAACTGTGCCATACACATATTACGGCTGCGTTCAAAAACGTAATTTTTTTGGACAATCAAAACAGCGTTCACTCAAATGATGCTTACATTGTTGGACATAATATTTTGACTTGATTTTCCTTCATTTCTTTTTTTTTCTTTAATAATGCTTGTAATTACGTGATATTAGATAAAATTGAATTGAATAAGTAAGAAAAACTGTTAAATTTATTTTATTTTATGATTATTTCAGGTGTTTGTTTCTAAAGATTGCTACTTAGGACGCGTTCTCGAAATGATTTTTTGTACTTATTTATATAAATAATAATGAATATGGTTTACTTTTAAACTATATTATATTAGATATAGTTAACGTAAACACTGTTAAGTATTTACAAAACTTGATTTGTTAAAGAAAAACTGAATTTAGTAATTTATTTGCTGGCACAGCTAATTTTCCACCTTGATGATTTTGACCCATATATTTCATTGTAATTTATATAAGGTTATATGTGATTTGTTTGATAAGTAGCATCAACTAATAAAAAATATCAGTAAAATACTTAATTCCGAATTATAATCTCAAATTTGTATCCCATTCATCAGTACCTACCGTGTCGTCAGTTTAATTTATTTATTCATTATTTATTCAATTTAAATTCTGCTTGCGCAGAACTTGTTTATTTAATGTGTGGTATTATTTGATTTTAAGATATTTAATGTATAATATACTCAAAGTTGCAATAAATCTTATATTTTTCAATAAATTATGTATTTAATTAGTACTCCGGTATTCTCGTCACTTCCCTTGCATTCAAATTTAGAAAACTGTTTGAAAAAGTGACTGGCCCGGTCTGGAACAGTATATTTATTATATTAACTATGTTCTCATAACAAAATACTGTTTAATTTTCTCCGAAAACTATATAAACAAAGTCAGGTCAAAAGTTGCTCAACTTTTGTAGAATCACCCATATACTAGCTTAGAAAAAAAAAGTGTCTCTATTGGTAACAGATAAATTTCCGTCAACATCCATCAACGGCCTTTATGGCACTACAGATTAGAGTGCATCGCACACCATAATTTAACAACAACTCCATACCCTCGATGCTTTACAATATCTCTGACAATATGCTTTACAATACTATAAGCAGTGGAAGTCGGACCGCTTCAAAGCAGTATATTTGTTATATGAAAGCAGTGCCACACCAAACGCGAGTATTAACGGACGTGTAGCGGGCTTAAGACGGGCGCCGAATTAAATTTAATCATAGTAGTACGGACGAAATGTTTTATATAGTTTTATTATTATAATAGTGGTCACTTTCCAGCGCCGCATGTGCGATGTTCTTGAGTGAAACACCGTGTACTACTTTCTTAAGACCACTGTAAACATTATAAAGAGGCGAAATGACGGGCAAGGTAAATTGTTGATTTATTGTATGTAAAACGTATACCATTGTTTAACGTGATAATTTCCTAATATGTATATTGATACGATTAAAAAAAAATTGGTATTATATACCAGTACACCTTTGGTTTATATTTTTTTGTTCAAAATTTGTATACAAGGTGTACAGAATACAAAATTATAAAGTAAGATTTTCCCGTTTTTTGAAAATGTATTGGTTAAAAGAACACCTCATATATTTTTTGAGTAAAGTAACTAAACCATGAACTGAAACTTGAAACTTTAATATATTGATTGATGTAACTTTTCCCTATACCTAAAATTAATAATTTCAGAGATAATAAACAATTTCTAAAATTTTAAATTTTATTTTTTGTATCAAGAAACCTGTGACGGGTGAGTTGACGGTATCTATGGTTACCAAGTAATCTGTCATTGTTCAAAATTGAATGGCGTCAATTTTTCAGCTTTTAAACAATTAAGTGTTTTGTAAACAAAATAGTCAGTTACTTATAATAAACATTGATAAACCAATATTTTTTAAATTTAAAAATAAACAAACAGTTTTGCCAATTTTGAAAAAAATCAACATGGCTGTAGGATGTCAAGGAGACAATAATAGTATATTATGTATCAAGTTTGATAAACGCCATTTAGAAAAGTTTATAAACGAGGTGCATACTAGGTATACTTTTTCTACGACAAATACTTATTATTATCTTAAAATGATTTAAATCAAAAATTTGTATAGAGCGCCATCTATGAAACAATAGGGGAATCTGTGTGTCACCGTCAAATGTCAAATTTTTACATTTTATAAACACAATTATAAAGTTTATAAATCGAAATGTATTTCTTGAAAATTGACAGTTTTTCACAGTGAAAGTAAAGAAAATGTTTTATGAGCACTTTACAGTGGAGTCTGTGCCCGAATTTAAGTTACAATGTTCATATAAACTTTTCAAATATTTAATACTTTTGTATTTTTTTATTGAGATAATAAAATAATTTTTACATTTAGTATTATTTTACAAGAAAGGCACTTTATTTTAACGATTGTATGACATTTGACAACTGTCAACTAACTTAAAACTAACTTCAGCCCGTGACTAAAAACCTGTTGCTAACTTCAGCCCGTGACTAAAGCGCAATAAAGCCACAACTTGTCAATGTGTATTTAAAAGGTCACTTAGTGTCAGGGAAACATGTACGTTTTAAAGGTGGGAGTAGAAAAAATATTAAATTTATTTTATGAAATATTTTAGTAACAAAGAAATGCGTTACTGTAATAATTTTAAAAACTAATTTATTACTAAATGTTCAAAATGTACATTCAAGCATTTATTATTTCTTACTTCTACATTAGACTACTGACTATTTTGGGTCTAATATTAGAAATTGTTAAATATTTCTGAAATTAATTAATTTAGGTATAGGGAATAGTTACATCATACAGATTGCAATGTAAATCTTTTTTAATTTCCTATTTGATTATGTAAAAACATACAGAATTTGATAAAGAATTTAAAAATGTAAAAATATATGGGGTGTTTTATTTAAAATAACAAAATTTTAAATCGATATCCTTTTCCGTTCCCTAGAACCTTCTTATGAACCATGAATGTGAAAAACCCTGTATATACATTTTAATCGGGAAAATTGAGTAATATAATAAAATATTTATATGAAAATTCCTAAAGAAATTTAAAAATATCACTGTCACCATTAGATCGTCATTTGAAGGATCAGGACATGATCCTGGTCAAAGTTGTGTGTGGTCAATATTTTTTGATTGAATTTTTTTATGACCTTAAATGTAAACACACATAATAAGCATGTGTTTATTGATATCGCCGGACATAAAACAGATAAAAAGAATATAATGTATGATTAAATTGGGTTGCAAAATTAAATACGTAACCGATATATAAATAAGATTACGTTTACGATTATGTAAAAATAAAAATTGGTTATTTTGGTTTTTGTCTGGTATTTGAAAAATTGCCTTTTATGAATGTTTTTTAAATGCTTAATTGGTAAATAGTTATTTGTTTTACAAGTGTTGAAAAGCGACTTTTTCATGCGAGTTTTTAAGTTGCCCACGAGGCCGTTAGGCCGAGTGTGCATTAACACGAGCTTGAAGAAAGCTTTTCTCACAAGTATAACACAATGTTTTTTCTGCGACCCTTTTATTTTTTATTATTTTTAAATACAAAACAAAATAACCTAAAAACTTTTTTGACAGCTGAATGTCAAACGATGCTTTCCGGTTCTTTTCACACAGACCTGTCACTTTTCACACAGAAATGTCACTTTACATTCGTGTTTTGCCTTGCCAATGAAAAGATTCATTTTCTAAGCAACGATGTCATCATGAAAAGTGACTTTTTCATAGTGGTCGTAGAAAAAACAATTTTCAAAATTCAGTGCTGTAACATGAACAATTTTTTTCCGATTTTAATGAAATATACAAAATTTTACCAATTACTTTATTGAGTAAAATTATCAAATAAAAATTGGCAAAATCAAAACTACTAAAATGAATGTAAAAAAATGACAAACAGGATTTTTTTCTAAGAAATATTAGATCATTAAGCATTTATTAATTACGTAGTAAACCTTGGCCATTGTTTATAAAAAATAATATAAATATTTGTATGTGTTTTGATTAAATCTTAATGTGCAAAATTAATGCCAAAGTAAAATTGGGGAATATTAAATCTGCAGTTAATAAAATCATTGGTTTAGACTAAACAATAATTAATAATAATAAATTATCCATTTGGCAAATAAGCAATAAATAAATCAAAATTTATGGGTTCCTCAATGGATAAATATGTTTGCTTATTTGTGCACTAATTTTACGAAATATATATTGGTAGGTAGGACAGTTCATTTTTTTTAACTGGACTCGTGTTTTTTTGTTAGGTTGGTGGCTTATGCCAGTTTGACTTGGTAATTTTAGAATTTTTTAAAAATGGTACTATTAAATTCTTTAGCAGTAGCTACTGCTAAAGAATTTAATTAAATACTTTGACTCTGTCAAATTGATAATATTTATTATTGATAATTTACTTGTCAATTATAAATAAAAAGATAATTATGACAAAAACAATAGCAACAAATTCAAATGTAAAAGCTCTTTTGAGGGCAAAACTTCATTTTGATGAAATAATGCCAAAGCCACAATGGAAGAAAAAGTACATCGCCTTATGGACATTTTTGGAGTAAAAAAGTAACGAATTTGGTTTTATAAATATTACACCACACATTATTTTCACATTATTCACCATAGGACAACATTTACGTTCACAAAAAATTTTAATTTATTTTATATAAATTCTTTTCAAAGCGAAGATTATTATCCGCTAGGAATACTTTCTCTTCTGGGCCGTAAAGCAACCTTTATTTAACTACTTTTTTTATATGATTTTACTCATCCAAGCACCACCAAAGCCAAATTAATTGCATTTTTAACTACGAATTTCGACAACTCAACTTGAAAACTGCACAATGTAACCTACAATAATTTATACATAACCACAATTAGATTTATAACTAGCTTGGTTTGTTTTAATCAATGCGACCAACTTGACAACTGTATTTACCAACCAAACCCCAGATAAAAAAAAATTAACTTTATTTGATTAACAATAATTATTGGGACTGCATACACCAATGATTTTAAATATCGTTACACACAAAAGTCGAGTGTATTTAAATCTGGAGAAAGAGGAGGCAACGGAACTGGCCCTCCTCGTCCTATCCATCCGGCTTCGTTTTTCACTGTTTCCGTGTTTATCGAAAAACTAATTTTACGAAATATTTATTGGTACCTATAGTTATACTTTTTACAGGCATTATTATAAACGAGTAATTTGAAATAATTAAGTGTAAAATGAATAATGCTCAAATATTACACAAATTGTTGGTAAACTTAACCTTCAAAATACTGCATAAATAATACATAAATTTATTATAATAAATACTATATATAGATAGGTATGCTAAAACGTATTTATTGTTTATAAAACCCCACTTTAAGCTTATGCAAATTAAATTTAATTTTTAAATACTAATAATATAATTTTAATGATAATATTTATATTTATAGTATATTTCATAATGCAATATTCCTACAAATTTTATTATTACCCAATTATTATGTCGTTATTATGCCTGTTTGTGCTAAGTTTCGAGCTCGACGCGTAGCATAGAGGTACAATTGAGCGAAGTATAAAAATGTACAATTGTATTTGTTATTTGTTAAAACGTACCCACAATTATAATAATAACTATAGTTATTATTAAAAGAAGAAAGTGAGGTTGGGTGCATCTGACAGTTATCGAATTTTTTGATTGTGGCAAACGGGTTCTTTACAGCCTAGGAGGTAAAAAACTTTAGTAGTGAGTGTAGACAATCATAAAGTTTAAATTGTAGAACACTTGAAGATAAAATATTTCTTCACAGAAGGAAAAAGGAAATAAAATGATTTAACAAGAATTAATAAAATCTTTCATTATTTATTGGCCTTGTAATTCTTAAACTCACAGGTAAATACTTAACATAATTGCTGTTTAGCAACAAAAATTACGCAATAACTGCAATTTAAAGAAATCAATTAAAATAAAACCGGTATTATCCCGGAGAATTCGCCAATTTCAAAAGTATTAAAAATACCAAAAAAATAACCTTTAGTTTTATAATACTTTGTATATTAATAATAATAATAATAATAAACTATATATATTTCTATAAAAAAAATTACCTAATCTTATACCTTAAACTTAATTTGGTCGAATTTTACTTTAGATAGTTGGTATCACAGTCATTGGTTTGACAGTTAATGTCAAAATCGATTTGCCATGCCGTCCTTAATTTACTTATATACAATAAGCGGCTGTTAATATTAAAGAAGAAAAACAGGATTTTCTTTGGTGTTAAACAAAATTTATTGCCAGAAGTCTCGAAAGTACTAGAAAAATCATAAAAATATTATAACCAATATGCAAAATATTATGCTGTTATTCACCGTGAATTCACTGTGATTTCACCGTGAATTCACGGTGAATTCACCGTAAACTCACCGTGAATAAACCGTCTGTTTGTGACATTTGTAAACGGTAGTTAGACGGTGAATTCACGCACTTTTCACAGTATTTTAATTGTGAATCCACCGTATTTTGGCGGTATATTCACAGTGAATTCACGGTGAATAAACCGTGAACTAAAAGGCCGCAAGGGTAGGTATATCCTATAGGTTTAACACGACTATAGCTAGCCATTATTCGTTACTGAGCAGATGAGGATTAATGTTCAGCTATGCCATTACAGACGCACACTTCCAACTAAATATTGAAACCCAACGCTATTTATAGTTAGCTCGCTTGCGTAAGCAGCCGTGAGATGTATTGAGTTCACCGTGAATTTACCGTGAAATCACCGTGAATTTATCGCAAAAACAGCGTGAGTTCACCGTTTAATTACCGTCTAAAAATGTCACAAATGGAGGGTATATTCACTGCACATAAACGGTGTATTCACGGTGAATTCACCGTAAACCCAAGGCCGCAAGGGTAGGTATAGCCAACCTTTAAAATCAAAATATCTCATTACAGCACCGAAAGCGGGGTTATAATGAAGTCATTATGAACGCAAAATAGATAAACGTCAGACTGGTTTAACCCCACTTTCTTCCAATGTGACATATGCCGAACAGTTTTAACCTCAATTATTCCCAATTTAAAGCACTAATGAATGTTTTATTTTTTAGAAACTGCCCTATCCAAAATCAGTATTCTTTATAGTCAGCAATGAGTTTTGTGAAAGGTTTAGCTACTATGGGATGCGAAGTAAGTTCACATTATAAATTATGGCAAACGTTAAAATTGTTGTTTTTCAGCAATTCTTATTCTCTACCTCAGAAACATCCTGCTTTTCTCGGAACCAGATTCGAAAATCATTTACCATGCCTTCACGATGTTCGTCTACTTTTTCCCCGTGTTCGGTGCCATTATTTCAGACAGTTGGCTGGGAAAATTTAAAACCATCTTCTACATGTCCATAGTGTATGCTGCAGGAAGTATTTTGTTGGCTGTTTCCGCAGGACCCGACTGGATTCCACAGGTTATTTTGCAGTTTACAATTATTTTGTTATCAAAAACATTGTTTTTTTCAGTTGGCCTTCTCAATGCTGGGTCTGATGCTCATAGCACTTGGTACTGGAGGAATCAAACCTTGCGTTGCCGCATTTGGAGGCGATCAGTTCGTTCTTCCGCAACAAGATGTCCAGTTGGCCTCTTTCTTCTCCCTGTTTTATTTCTCCATCAACGCCGGTAGTTTGATTTCCACTTTTTTGACCCCCATACTCAGATCAGAGCACTGTTACGGCCAAGAGTCATGTTTCTCGTTGGCTTTTGGAATACCTGGAGTCCTCATGGTGACATCATTAGGTAAGAATAAACTTTAAAAAGGTGATATGTTAAACAAATATTATTTTTCAGTTATTTTTGGACTTGGAAAACCACTGTATAAAGTCGCAAAACCGGAAGGAAATGTTGTGGTCCAAGTATCAAAATGTATTGGGGTGTGTTGCCCATACCATATTATCAAGAAATCATTAAAAATTTCTTATTTTAGCATGCCATCAAGCAAAAAATGAACAGGAACAAATCCGACAAACAGAAGGACCATTGGTTGGATTACGCAGCTGGTAAATACGATGAAGAACTTATTAACAACATCAAAGCCACACTCAAAGTGCTGGTGATTTATTTGCCTCTACCAGTTTTTTGGGCTTTATACGACCAACAAGGTTCAGGATGGACCTTTATGGCTGTTAGAATGGATGGAGACATTGGTATAAAAGATGTTGTTTGTGTTTAAATGTTTATAATCAAATAAATTTGTTTCCAGGATTTGCCACTATTCTTCCCGATCAAATGCAGGTGGTGAATCCCTTTTTGATTCTCTCCTTCATCCCCCTTTTCTCCTACTGCGTTTACCCTCTACTAGCGAAATGCAACCTCCTCAAAACGCCTCTGCAGAAGATGTGCTGCGGAGGTCTTCTGGCAGCTCTGGCTTTCGGTGTATCCGCTTGCATCTCTCTATGGTTGGAGTCCACCTATCCGGTTCTACCGACCTCCGGGAACATCCAACTCAGAGTGTACAACCCCACGAATTGCGACGTTGCCATTAGTTCCACGGGAGAACTGAATTTTAATGCGAAACTTGGCGCCAACGCGTACTTGCACCAATCAGATATCCAGTATAGTGGTGACGGGTTGATTTCGTTCAGCCTCGCATCAGAAACGCCAGATTGTTCGAAGTTGAAGGATTTACAAATGAACATCACAACTGGTTTTGCTTACGGTATTTTCATTGGTACAGATGAAAGTGTACCGTACAAAGATGACATCGAGAAAACCGATGATGGTAATCCTGTCGTCAGAACTCTTTCTTCTAAAGAGGTAAAATATAGCGGCGACAGCACAATTCTGGTTGAAGCTGGCAACATAACGCAAAGAACTTTTGACATTGGTACCTACAAAATCGAGGGGACCAATGGCGAATACAAATTCAAGCTTGGAGGAAAATACGTGGTTATGGTGAACGGGGTAAGTTGACATTTCCCTATTGGAAGAAAGATATATTAACAATGGGGTAGTTAAATTTTTTCTGACCTATACTTTTTATGGTTTTATTCAAGGCGTTTTGTAATTTTAAACATTTTTGTGAAATCGGAATTTCAATTGAATTTACCGTTTTCGAGATATTTACAAAAAAAATCTCCTAATTACGTCACTAGGCTATTTACAACGTTGCCAGCTGTTTCTATGGTTGCCAGTTTGTTTAGTTTAAGATATTTTGGTTTTAAAACCACTTGATCTATAATTTTAGTTGAGAAGAAGAAGAAGAATTGATTTTTTGACGTTTCTTTTTTTTCGGGTTATGTTTTTTTTAAATTTAGATTATTGAAAATCAATGTTATTGTTATGTTATTTGTAATTGATATTAGATAAGTGATTTATTAATAACGGACTCCAAAGCAGAGGAATCTTGTGGAATGGTTGGTTACATTGAACATTGGAGCTTTTAAACAAATAAAGTCAGTACTTACCTATAATTATAATCAAATTTTGTAGTAAATGCATTTCATTAGTATAATGCCTAGTTCTTTATATTCTTTTAGATATATCTTGGACTTTAAAATATCAAACAGTAATATGATACCTCGTAATAAGGAAGATAGGTACTTAATGAATTTGGTGACTCAACTGACAGTGACAGTATTTGTACATAACCTCTTCGGGTATTTTCTGACATAACCGAATGAAATCATTAACAAGACAACTTGACAACAGGGTAATTTTCAACCAATAGAAATCTTAGAATGTTGGTCACATGGCGAGGTTTGTGACGTCATAAAAATTTATATTTTTTGTAAATATCTCGAAAAAGGTAAACTAAATTGAAATTCTGATTTCACAGAAATGTTTAAAATTACAAAACGCCTTGAATAAAACCATAAAAAGTATAGGTCAGAAAAAAATTAACTACCCCATTTGTTACAGGCCACAACCTCCTCGATTATAGTGACAGAGCCGAATTCGGTGCACATTCTTTGGCTGATTCCTCAGTACGTCATCATCACCGCTGCCGAGATCATGTTCTCCATCACAGGTTTGGAGTTTTCCTACTCCCAAGCGCCTTCCTCCATGAAGTCAGTCCTGCAGGCATGCTGGTTGCTGACCACCGCCTTCGGCAACTTGATCATCGTCATCATAGAGTCGGGAAAAATTTTCGAGAAGCAATCGTACGACTTCTTCCTCTACACCGCCCTGATGGTCCTCGATATGGTGGTGTTCGTCTGGCTGGCTACCAGATACGTATACGTGGAAAACGTGGAAAGCGACAGCGAGGACACGGAACTTCCGTCGAGAAATTCCCATTCGTCGTCGATCAAGGAAAAAGATGGCATCGAAAATCCCACCTACGCAGAGTGATAGACTTTTTGGCATCTAATCTTATGTATTAACCAGTGAACTGTGAGTTTTTTGTTGAACTTTTATCAGACACAAATCAACAAAAAACAATCCTAATTTATTTTTTATAAAGTACCTATTGTAATTTATAACTATTTTGTATTTTTTTTTGTTTTAAGAATAAATATTATAAAACTTACCCAGTAAGTATCCTTTTTTCCTAGTCAAAACTTAGACCCTAGAGCTATGTCTTAGTCCATAATTATAATTTTATAAAAGTATCCTTTTTTCTTGGTCAAAACCTTAACCTTAAACCATGCGCTTCACGAAGCCATCCACCCACAGACATGTGAATGTCTTAAATCATCCACTAATTATCGTGTACTAATCACAAAGTACCTTGCCAAAAGGTCAAAGCTTGCGATTTTGTTCAAAGATACATGAATATTTCTATTCGCGGAATCCAATTTTTTCCCTCCTGGGTCAGCTATTTTTCACACTTTTTCATCGAGCGAGACACACTAAAGACAAAATCGAACTCTATGTTTGGACAACTATTATTTTTTGTTAGATTTCTTATGAATATCCAAAATTAAACATAAATTATATTAGGTAAAATAATAATTAATTCTGCACCAAAAAATATACGTACCAAATTGGATCCTTTGGTAAAACATGAAAATGCAACCATTAATGGTTAGTTAAATTTAGTTCTTGAATTTTATTTACAATTAAAAACACAATAATTCACCATGATCCCTTTGATAAAATACACACACTAACGTAACTATATGAGCATATAAGCGATGACTTTCTTAATCTATAATAATAGGAATAATAAATCGAAATCGAGTTCTAAACCAAAGTTTTGCATTTTTTACTTATTACCGTAAATTATAATTTAATTATAATCATAAAAATACAATATTATTACTGTGATGGCTAAATGGATGGCATTGCAAAAAACAGTTAATAGTTTTTTAAGCAATTAATAAATCTGTACTTACATTGAAATTATCGGCTTTGCGACATTTTGTCAGCTTTGACGTTTGACATTTTAAATATAATAGGTTATGTTCATGAATTTCTCTGATTTATTCTAAAGTTAATTTTTTTATCTGGACTGCGCCGCAGTCACTGCGGCAACGTTGCAAATTTAGGGTTTTGGTTGGTAAATAAAGAACCAAAATTGGTCGCATTGATTAAAACAAATAAGCTAGTTATAAATCTAATTGTGGTTATGTATAAATTATTTAGTTATGTCGAAATTCGTAGTTAAAAATGCAATTAATTTGGTTGAAGAGAAAGTATTCCTAGCGGATAATAATCTTCACTTTGAAAAGAATTTATATAAAATAAATTAGAATTTTTTGTGAATGTTAATGTTGTCCAATGGTGAATAATGTGAAAATAATGTGTGATGTAATATTTATAAAACCAAATTCGTTACTTTTTTACTCCAAAAATGTACATAAGGCGATGTAATTTTTCTTCCATTGTGGCATTTGGCATAATTTCATCAAAATTTTAAAGTTTTGCCCTCAAAAGAGCTTTTACATTCAAATTCTTTGATATTATTTTTGGCATAATTATCTTTTTATTTATAATTGACAAGTAAATTATCAATAATAAATATTATTGTCAATTTGACAGTGTCAAAGTATTTAATTAAATTCTTTAGCAGAAGTACCATTTTTAAAAACTAAAAATACTAAGTCAAACTGGCATAAGCCACCAACCTAACAAAAAAACACGAGTTCAGATAAACAAAAAATGAACTGTACGTAATTTTAATGTATTTTCATTATTGTACAAAAATTATTGAAACGATATCTTTTTTGATAAATAATCATTGACCATTCCCCGTATTTCCCTAATTTTCTTAATAATCCGAAACGTGGCAACAGCGTTCCCAATCAATTACGTTACTGCGTAGTTTGCGGGCGCGTGCGCACAAACCCGCCGATCCGATTGGCCGTCAGCTTGTGTTATGTCAGAACAAAAACAATAAACACAACTTTTGTGTGGTTCTGTGTATGACTTGTGTTTATGTTCGCGAAATTCCCGATTAGAAAGCAAATACCGTGTGACATCTTCTCGAAGAAGTAAACGTCGTTCGAAATGGACCCGTTCATGGAGGGCAAGAAGAGAGACCTCGAGATAATCTACAATTTGCAGTGGAAAGATCAGCCTGCAAATGGCGGTGAGAAAGCGAATATCATCGGAATGTACGACATTCCTGCAACGACACTCACCTGGGACGTCTTCAAGTCCTACCTGGTAAGAATTTTAGAGGGTCTTATATTATATTTTTTACGGTTTTTCTTGTTGACTTTATGTCAATACAAAAATACGTCAAAATGTATTCAGGCCAGTATAATTTTTTGTATAGGGGAAAGGCAACGCAGGAAACAAAATGCATTTCCATTATGTTTATTTTTTTGACTGCAGCCAGATATTTGGTTCATTTTAAAAAGTAAATCTATTTTGGTTTTATACTGTTCTTTCAATTATTTAATAATTTTTTTGGGTGATTAACAGTTATCCTCTAATATTTTAGAATAACTGCTCCACACCCAAAAGTTTCGCCTTAATATTTTAATACAAATAATTGAGGTTATTTCGACTTATTTTTCAAAAATAATACACTATTTGGATTTTTTGTGTTCTAAATTAAGAACTTTATACACAAAATATACAGATATTACCTATATTATTTTCAGAAAATAAGAGGAAATTAGCGTTAAAGTGACATATACATAACCTCAATTAATTTTATTTAATATTAACTCAATCCTTTAATTAGTTTTTAAATTTGTTTTTACCTTTATTCTGAAAATTAGAACAGTTCAAAATGAAACAAAATAAAATTTGGCGCAATTACAGCTGAAAAACTCTGGCACCCCCTTAGACGATGTAAAAGTGATGTATGTTACATCCAACAACCACGAGTTCCCCATAGAGTCCCAGACGGACTTTCAGATAGCCCTGTACGCGTTTAGACGCAAAGCCAGGATGAACGAGATCATAACTTTGAAGCTCGATGGGGTGCCAAAACAGCAAAAGAAAAAAAACAAGAGGCAGTCCATTGATGTGGAGACTCAGTTCGATGAAATCGACTCCACAGGCAAATCGCCTGAAAATCTGCTCGACGCTCCTCCGCAATGGTTTTTGGCTTATATGTCACAGGTAAGTTTTCATCATAGATAATAAATCATACTCCTACATTGAATTGGGAAAAGTGAGGTTAATACTGTTTGACATCTGTCAAAAGTGAGGTTAAACCCGTATGTCAGATTGGGAATAAGTGAGGTTAAACTGTCAAATTAATTGACTTTACTGAAAAATTTAAGTTTGTGGTAGATTAAGTATACAATTCGTTTTATAAAGTTTTCAAGATCACTCGTTAATTAAAAACTCGCTCCGCAAACTCGTGTATTAAAAATGACATTTACAGGGTTATTAGCGTAAAAATTAAATTAAAATTGGTAAAGGTAAAGTGGTGCAATATTTGATAATTTATTATTTTTGCAAAATGATTCACAATTATAATCTAATTTTTATGCTTGAAAGTAAATGTGTTAAAGCAAAGTTTCAATTTTAATTCGTTATCACGTAAATGTATAGTTTAAGTATAATTTAAGACTAACGTCTACGGGCCAATTATCACTTTCTATTTTTGATCCCGCATTTGCGCAACTAGTGGCAAAAAAACGAACTACTCTAGGTAAATTTCTATATTTGACATTGGGCTACTTTAAGATAGATGACGCTAGTAACTTTTGTACTTACATGGTATATTAAATATATAAAATTTTATAAAATAATTTTCGAAATAAATAAACACTTATGAAGCAGGTACCATAATAGGTCTTCGGATTTAAAAATGTGTATTACATAATAATAACTATTATAGTACATTGACCAGTCAATTGACCAAAATAAATTCAAAAATACTTTGTAGGTACTTATAAAACAAACAAAAAAACAAAATAAAAACTTAAAATTCCAATACAAATAAACATTTTTAATAATATTACGTTAAACTTAAAAACACTTTCTCATTTAAAACAAAAATGAATTAAGTAGTAAAAATAAATTAAACTTTGTTTACAACCTACAATTGGCCATCCCCAACTCTAATTACAATTGTAATAAATTCAACAAATACTTACCTAACAGCAATTTTCGGGACAATTTTTTTTTATTACAGTTTACCTGAAAGGTGTGTATTTTGGATTGCGGTAAAACACCGTTCGTCCTCATTATTGCCGTTTCTGCTTTTAGTTCTTTTTAAATGATTGAATGATGATATTAAATGTAATAAAATAAATACACAGGCCTGAGAAATATACATTTTATTTACCACTTCAAATAAATGTTTTTTTTTGAAAATTGAAAAAAAAAATTCTTAGAAAATGTAAAGTTCATTTTTTTTATTTGGACTGCGGCAACGTTCTATTATATTGGCAGCCTACTATGGTTCCGTGCGCACGGGGTAGCAGTCACTGCGTAAAAAAAAACAAGAGTCCACATAAAAAAATGAACCGTAAAAGTAATTAATTGTAATTATAATAAATAACCAACAGCAACCTTATTTATTTCTGATTGAGTTGGTTTTTCAAGATTTCTTTTTTTTGTTTGCTTTTTTTTAATTTTAAATTTTCTTTGCTGTTCAATTCTTTTATTGGAGGGTACAATATTTTGTGCAATTAGAGATGTATTTAATTTTCCAACATTATTTTTGATGGCCATTAATGTAGGTTTTGCAGGTGCTAAAATTGTTTCAATTGCCTCATACTGCTGAATTGATGCGATATTATCAATTACTTCCGAAATAGACAGTTTTAAATCGTTTTTCTTTTTTTCCAAAGCATCTTCTGGGTTCTTGGTCCTACTTAAATTTTCTATAATTTTTGTATTTGATGCTTCGCCGAAACATATTTCTAGATTGCCTGAAAGGATAAAAGAGAAACAGATAAATTAATATTAATTAATATATAGATAGGTATCAAACAAATTGGACCATCCTATGAAAATATACCTAGAGGTTTTTAATACCTATTCAAATAAAAACAAACTAAACAAAAACCAGAAAACCGCAACCAGACCAGACAAAAGAATAGGATTTTGGCTATTTTAACTAAATGTAGCATCTAAACACCTAGCACCCAGAAAAAAATTACTTACACAATTTTACTTTCATATTTGGATGAACACTAAATTTTGGGCATATCCCAATATTGCTGTGAAAAGGATATATAATTATTTTACAGTAAAATTTTTACCTATATTATTACATATTAAAAAATGCAAATATAAAAAATTACCTAAACTTTGAGTATCCATAGGAATTTCTTCACGTCTTCCTCGAGTTTGACAAACCAGATGGATATGTTTGCACATATTCCATCTAATAGAAGAATCTATGCAAGTACACGAAAACTGATGTAAACATGTATTGCAATCAGTGCATACCAATTTACATTCGTCGCACGATTCTTTAATTTTTTCTACTAAATATATTTCCTGACATGAAGATGATGCAACTTGCCAGCCATACACAGTTTCAATAACTAAGTTCTTATCTAATTTGATACTTTTCTTGTGCCTGTCTCTCAAAATTTTTATCTTACTACATAATTTTCCTTTGTAGTCCACTATTAGTGAATCATATAATTTATCCCGAACAAATTTTAGCACAGCATTAATAGCAATATCTAAGCGTTTAACATGCTTGCCTCCCAAGTACAAATATTTTATTGTTTTGTGTAACCTCTCTATATGCATATTGGTATTTAATCCTGTGTTAACTCGATAACAATATGCCCAACATTCTTTTTTTGTAACATAATATTCATTAAAATATTCCAAAAAAAGTAAAGTTGCCTCATCTTGGGATAAGAAAATTTGGAATTCTTCCAATAGCCTTAAAAATGCCACTTGGTCAGTTTCTTGTAACAGCATCCGTAAGTTTTTGTAAACATGGGCCTAAAAAAATAAAATTCATGCAAAATGTTGTCTGTAAAGTAGGATTTTGTTTGTGTAAAGTACGATTTTCCCTTCATAAAAATTGTTTATTTATTCTAGAATCCTGCATGTTTGTATACAAACAGAATAAATAAACAATTCAAGTTTCACCCTGTATACATGTATACAGGGTGAAACTAGAATTAATTTTAGTCAACTACCTGTTTCTCTTTTGAATCTACTTTATTTAGGTTTTTCCTCCAGGCCCTGTCAACATGCCACGTACAGTAAAGCCTAAAACAATATACCAAATTTTTAACACCTTAAAATTTTAATGTGAAAAACTGTTTATAATACCTTGATTTAGCAGGCAGCATTATTCGAAGCCAAGCATTATAGTACTCTTGTGCCATATCTGACATAAACACCTTTGGTAGTATTTGATATCCTAGTCTTTCTCTAACACATAAAAAAAATCTACTCAAAACTTCTTCATCATTCCTGTTTGTAATTAGAAATGCACCTGGAAAACCCTCCCTTAATTGGTCAAGTACTAATATTGTGTGAAGTTGAAATCCATATGGATTTAATCCATGTGTTCCATCGACACATATGCAGTCATCACAATATTTTTTCATGATTTCTTCTTGGCCGCTGGTCATTATACACAAAATAAAATCATCATTTTGAAAGTTGTCTTGAACACAGTTTTGAGGTTTGTAATATAATACATCATCGCCCATTTCCAAAATCCAACTTTCGACGCTAAGTAAATCATCCCTGTGCCTTTTTCCATTCAAGTTATAAATTTGTTCGATATTATATAAATCTTTTTTATTTAAAAGATGAATGCGATCTAATTTACTTTCAACTAAAGAATCTCTGATTTCATCTAGTATTGACTGGAATGGGATTTTTGTGGCTATTTTACTTGCTATTTCTTCTCTTTCAAGTTTTGTTAGGTGCAAATGTCCTAAATCGACATCATGCCCTACATGTTTTTTTTGAAATTTAACAAAATATTTTTTTTCTTCCACTTTTACACAAATAGTTGCCGGGCAAATCCCATTTATCTTATTGGATCCTTGTATTTTTAGGTGTCGAATATTTTTACCTCTACCAATATAATTGCCTGACCGGTGACAAATATATTTAATTTTTTCATAAGTTTTATTTTTGTTATGATACAATAATACAAAAAGAGATTTTTCTTGCTTTTCTATGGCATATTTCCATTTATAAAATTCTTCGATTGTTTCAAATTGTAAATCCACAGTTTCAAATACGATGTTATGATAAATTTCATAATGATCCATCAATTGGTTACTTTTTGCATGTTTAAATGTGCACATTGGACACTTCTTTTGGGGATTTTCTTCAGTTGAGTTATGTTTTTTTAAATGATGATTATAATGAAATTTTTGGTTAAACTGCTTTTCACATTGGTCACATTTGAAATTATATGTTTTTTTTGGAAATAAAGTATCAAATATATCTAAAATTAAAATAAAATCATAGGTAATTTAGCCATAAATGTATGTTTTTCATAATTACCAGTATGAAACTTTTTGACATGAATTTTCAAATATTCTGACTTAATAAAAAACTTTCCACATTCCTTGCAATCATATTTTTTTGCTTTTTTAGTCTCATTAAATTTATCTAAAAAACGATAACGTTAAAAAATTAAAACAAATACCTAAATTGATGAACATTTTTTACCTGGGTGAAACTTTTTAAGATGTTTCTTTAAATTCGAGGCGTTAGAAAATTCACGGGAGCAAACACTACAAAGCATGCTCACCCTATCATCCATAATTACAGCAACGAAATATTAAATAATAATATTATTATTTAATAATATTGTTATATTTACTCAGCATTCTGCTCTTGACGCTTGAAGTGTAAGCATATGCTCATCGATCTCTCTTAAGCAGCGTATACGATAGTAACGTGATAACTGGTTAACGCCGTAAAATAATAAAAAATCAATCGATTCTAAACGTGATAACTGTCCCAAGTGCAAAAAAGTGCAAATTGTGTGTGGTACCTCCCCCATTGATTAAATCCTCAAGTGTTGGACCTGGTTAAAAGGTGTGAGAGAGACGACACTTCCACGAAATTTACTGGACTCAAGCTAAGTTATTTTTTCCAATTGCATGTCTTACCGTATATTCGCTAAATGTTTATAAAAGCATTTCACAATGTTTATGTAAGCA